TACAAACAGGTGTGCTGACACACATTACACAGGCACAGTCTACCAGGAAGGTCCTGAATAATGATGTGCTGACGCTGGAGTGATAACTGTGGACAGGAAGTGGATGAAGAAAATGAGCAGCACTGGGATACGCAACAGAATGAAAAAAAGTGAGGCCTAGGCATTACTGTGTTGCAGTAAAACATGCATTTTACCGTGTGTTACCATAATGCAGCAATCTGAAAGGGCCCTTATAGCATCTGGGGCTCTGACATGAAGAAATTCTGCAGAGCAGCAGCTGAATGGCCTGACCAGTGGTGTATCCAGGGTATGGCACATGCCCTTTGTGCCACCTGAAGGGGGGGGGGGGCACTGCTCTGTAGATCAGTGAAAGTTTGCTGACCCACAGAGACAGCTGACTTTTATTCTCACCCCACCCCTCTCCCATACAAATCACCCTACCTGGCTCTTAGCAGCCGGGGAAGTTCTTTGTTGGCATCCTGCCCAGCTCCTGGCAATCAGTGACATCACTTGTTGCCAGGAGCTGGGCGGGGCACTGGCCACAATGTCTCAGGTTGCTAAGAGCTGGGCAGGGAGACGTGATACGCATCTCCACGCCCCGGCTCTTAGCAACCAGAATGGGCAGGGAAATGTATGAGGGCCGGTCACTGGCCAGAACATCCCAGTTGATAAGATTAGAGACGGGGAGATGTGTATGGCACTTGCACATCTCACTGCCCAGCTCTTAGCAACCTGAGACACTCTGGCCGATGCCCCACCCAGCTCCTGGCAACCAGTGACATCTCTGGTTGCCAGGAGCTGGGCAGAATACAAGTGTAAGGGCCATACACATCTCCCCACCCGGCTCTTAGCAACCAGAGCGGGCGGGGAGATGTGTATGCGGGCAGGATGCCAGACAGCACGTCCCAGGTTGCTAAGAGACAGGGGGGGAGATGTGAATGGCACTTATATCCAGCTCTTAGCAACCTGGCCGGCGTCCCGTCCAGCTCCCAGCAACCAGTGACATCACTGGTTGCCAGGGGCTGGGTGGGACACCAGGGGGG